AGTATTTTATTACCGTGTCTGTTTTTATTCAAAATTAAGAGAACAGTTCCGAACTATGATCCCAAAGGAGGACACTTTTTGTTGCTAATTATTTTTATGTGCACAAATCTTCATTTATAATTAAGCTAATTCTTTTTTTTTTTTTAAGTTATATCTTTTAATCTTCAAATAGCTCTAGAGATACGACTACTAAGGAATTCTAAAGTTTAATAAATCAGACACTGATAGCACAGCACTTTGTTTTAAGGTCTTTAATTTTTTTTCATCCAAAAATGCTTTGTGCTAGTTCGCGGGTACGTGACTGAACAAAATATTTCACAGGGTGTACCTTAAAAAAAAAAAAACGTTGAGAACCACTGGTTGAGACCATCCATCTATTCTTTACCGCGTATCCGGGGTCAGGTCACGGGGGCAACATCTTCAGCAGGGAAGCCCAGACTTCCCTCTCCCTCTCCCCAGCCACTTCTTCCAGCTCTTCCCAGGAGATACTAAGATGTTCCCAGACCAGTCGGGAGATTAGTCTCTCCAGTGTGTCCTGGGTCGTCCCCAGGGCCTTCTGCCGGTGGGACATGTCTGGAACACCTCACCAGGGAAGCGTCCAGGACGCATCCTAGTCAGATGCCCGAGCCACCTCATTGGGCTCCTCTCGACGTGGAGGATAAGCGGCTCGACTCTGAGCCCCTCCCAGATGACCGAGCTTCTCACCTTATCTCTGAGGGAGAGCCCGGACACCCTGCGGAGGAAGCTCATTTCGGCTACAACTGGGGTGCCATGACAGAGCATCAGTGTGTCATTGTGAGAGATCAGCTGGGGTGCTGTAGGAAATTACCCAATTTCATATAATTTGTCCAGAAATTAAGTAATTACAAATATTTTTGTGTTCATCCAACTATTCCAGTAACATACAGGTATAGTGACAGGCAGAAAATTACCTGTACATTCTCTCCCAATGGATAGCAGAATAAAAAATAAATGTATGTAACCACTTCTTGCCTTCATACAACAGAGTAAGTTGGCTCCAAAGAAGTTTGGGAAGGACTGGCGTAGGCAACAATAACCGTGAGGCCATCAGACTGCATAATATACAATCTTCTGTATTTTCTATTTGCAAAGTGAATGTAGAAAAGTGTCAGGATTTTGCCCGTAGCTCACCCTGCAGTTGTGAAGGGCAACTTACATGCAGGCCGCTGGCATGAATGCAGAATAGACAGCGTTAAATGCATCGCATTTGTGGATGAGCAGACTGAGGTGAAGTTAATTAGACTTCGGTCAATATTGAAATAACTTATGAGCTACTTATGTGGAAATAAATCAAAAGATAAAGAAGCTAATCCAGTTGATGTATGATCTAAAAATCGACATTTGCCTGCACCTTTTTCCCCCCACCCCATCTAATTTAGTGTTTATATGCTTAATGACTGTGCAGGACTAGTTTCACTGCTGTTCCCTTATTCCATTAGGTAGATATTATAGATGTACAAAGTAGATGTTTTCCTTGTAATTCTAATCTGTCCGATAATTGGTAAATTGTCATATAGTCTGCGAAGAATCCCGGTTGTAGTGTAATACGAGTTACACTCCAATTTTGATCCTGTGCAACACATCGTCTTGTCTCATGTTTCTCTTCACTTTAGCCATCTTGATGAAAAAAAAAAAAATTATAAATCATCTCAAGGTACTCACAATGTTTGTCCTTGGGAATAAATAAACGGCTTAAATAGAGGGATGTTGCCTCAGGCCACTATTGTTATTAATGAGAAGAATAATGAAAGGAAGCGAAAATTTTGTAAACAGAGCAGACTAGTGTCAAGTTAAAGCTAATCAGAACCCTTCCATGCGCTGACAAGCCTGTGTGTCGGCAGCATTTACCGGGGATTAGTGGGTGGTGGGGAAAACACACAATATGTCAAACTGCAATCATTAAATGGAGGTTCCTCTTGGTTACATTTGTCAGAATTACATGATGCATTTGTATGCAAATGAAAGTGATTTTCCCAAACATTATTTCCCACCATAGTCCAATGGTTTCATTTCGATATCATGGTCCAAGAATTTACAGCATTAATTTCTTTGTAGAAAACTGATAATCCTCAAGAAGTTCCGCAGACTCTGCATTTAAATAAATGTTTTGTTTTGGGGTTTTTTTTTTGGAAAGCCACCCAAGACGGTTTCACTTTTATGCACATCTCGCATGTTATTGCGTCAAATCGGTTTTCAACCACCAACATTAAGGAGAGATTTTTTATGCCAAACGCTTTTCGAGAGATATAGATTTACAGTCTTGCAAACTAACAGGGCATTCCGTCCCTGGGACAGCAGTCTGGTGCTGATTTACTTCTCAAATTACATCCCTTGACCCCAGACTCAGTACAAGGTTCAAGGCAATGCTCGACTCCTGATTTATTTGAACCTCATAACCATTTTTATCATGGTAAAATTGTTCATTTCAAGTAGTATTTTTAACATTAGAAACTTTCACACAAAATGTGAACCGAAAAAACCCCAAACCGTCAGTATTATCTTGGTGGCAAAGTTCCAGAGGTGTGGCGTGAAAAGTGCCGCACATCACCCTTGTGCAGAGGTCCCCAACATTTTTTTTTTTTTTTTTTTTTTACGGACCAGTTGAGGTCAGTACGTGCTGTTCTACCTGGAACAGTTTTTGTTTCATTGCTTTTAAATGGCCACTTTTAAAGCACTGGTATTGAGAACAAAGATAATGATAGAGTAATTTATTAACATCGATTTTTCCCCCTTTCATTTCAAATAGTGTTATTCTACATTACACCATATTTAGAATAAAATGAAAAACACAGTGAACTACTGAGAAATGGACTCATTTGCAATAATAAATATGCGTTATAATGTAAACAGAATCATTTCTAAGTAATGATCGTACATCATTGCTACTCGCAAATATGACGAATCAAGAGATGACGCGATTGTTGTTTTCATCCGGTGGCTGCCGGCTAGCGACTAAATTGCGAATGCTAACATGGACAGGCTGTGCAAACTCTGCTTATATTTCTCATGCTTTCCACTGAATCACTTGGGTGCTACTTGTTCAAATGATCGACAGGTTTTCTTGTATTGCCTCGTTTTTGACGACAGCATACACACCAACTTCCTCCACCACGTCGCTAGGGGAGGAACTTCTCTTGTCAAATAGCTTCATCTTCGAAAGTACCGGCTGCTCGTCAGCTGCCCGTTCAGCGATACGTTTGGTAAATTCCGTCCTATTATTTTCCATTTACTGCTTCTCCTTTCATTTATTGGCGTATTCTGTTTCTTTCAACCTGCACACCAATGTTAGGAGGGGGACACGTATTTAGTTGGGCCTCTCTCTTCAAGGATGTTGTGACAATCAGTCAATTGTTTTGTGGTATGTTTCTCAAAACAGCCCCAGCAGTGAGCCAACAAGTAGTCAATCTCACATAGCATTCACTAAATAATTATTTCAAAGACTCAGTTGCGTGGTTTTTTTTTTGGAAAGCCACCCAAGACGGTTTCACTTTTATGCACATCTCGCATGTTATTGCGTCAAATCGGTTTTCAACCACCAACATTAAGGAGAGATTTTTTATGCCAAACGCTTTTCGAGAGATATAGATTTACAGTCTTGCAAACTAACAGGGCATTCCGTCCCTGGGACAGCAGTCTGGTGCTGATTTACTTCTCAAATTACATCCCTTGACCCCAGACTCAGTACAAGGTTCAAGGCAATGCTCGACTCCTGATTTATTTGAACCTCATAACCATTTTTATCATGGTAAAATTGTTCATTTCAAGTAGTATTTTTAACATTAGAAACTTTCACACAAAATGTGAACCGAAAAAACCCCAAACCGTCAGTATTATCTTGGTGGCAAAGTTCCAGAGGTGTGGCGTGAAAAGTGCCGCACATCACCCTTGTGCAGAGGTCCCCAACATTTTTTTTTTTTTTTTTTTTTTTTACGGACCAGTAGAGGTCAGTACGTGCTGTTCTACCTGGAACAGTTTTTGTTTCATTGCTTTTAAATGGCCACTTTTAAAGCACTGGTATTGAGAACAAAGATAATGATAGAGTAATTTATTAACATCGATTTTTCCCCCTTTCATTTCAAATAGTGTTATTCTACATTACACCAAATTTAGAATAAAATGAAAAACACAGTGAACTACTGAGAAATGGACTCATTTGCAATAATAAATATGCGTTATAATGTAAACAGAATCATTTCTAAGTAATGATCGTACATCATTGCTACTCGCAAATATGACGAATCAAGAGATGACGCGATTGTTGTTTTCATCCGGTGGCTGCCGGCTAGCGACTAAATTGCGAATGCTAACATGGACAGGCTGTGCAAACTCTGCTTATATTTCTCATGCTTTCCACTGAATCACTTGGGTGCTACTTGTTCAAATGATCGACAGGTTTTCTTGTATTGCCTCGTTTTTGACGACAGCATACACACCAACTTCCTCCACCACGTCGCTAGGGGAGGAACTTCTCTTGTCAAATAGCTTCATCTTCGAAAGTACCGGCTGCTCGTCAGCTGCCCGTTCAGCGATACGTTTGGTAAATTCCGTCCTATTATTTTCCATTTACTGCTTCTCCTTTCATTTATTGGCGTATTCTGTTTCTTTCAACCTGCACACCAATGTTAGGAGGGGGACACGTATTTAGTTGGGCCTCTCTCTTCAAGGATGTTGTGACAATCAGTCAATTGTTTTGTGGTATGTTTCTCAAAACAGCCCCAGCAGTGAGCCAACAAGTAGTCAATCTCACATAGCATTCACTAAATAATTATTTCAAAGACTCAGTTGCGTTTTATTTTATTAGATTTTTTTGCTGTAAGACAAAACTAACATGAGCCTTCGTGCCAGTCATTAATGAGATGACTCCTCGATCAATACTTATCGACTGAGAGCCTCCATTATTGGCTTGTAAGACATTACTGTTGTTCCATTATCCTTTAATCAAACTGCAGCAGAGCAGCGCGAATGTAGCCCCCGCTAGTACACCATACAATCCGATGGAGTTCTAATCACCCACTGTAACACATATGACCCAGGGTGTTTTTGCCTTTGCTGTTGCATAATAATGGGTTCATTAGACCAACTGCGATTTACTTATCAAAAGATGGCAAAGGACGAATACACTCGAACACTAAAAAAAAGAACACTGTCATACTTGAGTACAGGTCAGCATTTAATTAGTGCATAAGAACTTGGGAATGTTCATCTGAGAGGCCATCTTGGAGCATGATGAAGAATGTTGGAGTCCTACAGTATTTGGGTGTTTTGCAGTGAGTAGAGGATGGAGAGTGGATGGAGACCGCCGACTTGCCTGCAAGATATGTGACCCCAGTCGGAAATTCCAACATGGACTTGATTCACCTGTGGACGGTAGGCTTTGGTAAATTACTCATAGCAAGCTATCCACCTATCCATTTTCCGTTTGCGCATGTCGTGATTAAGGTCGCGGGTGAGCTGGAGCATATATTAGCAGATGCCGCATATGGACAATTGACCTTTAGCGCTCGCATTCACAGCAGTAGACAATTCGGAGCAAGGGTGTCGCGCTTGTTTTCATCAAGGGCGGAGGCCCACTGTGACTAAAATTTGGCCCCAGAATTTTGTTGGACAGCGGTCGACATGCACCAAGAGCTCGGCCGACATGTAACAATTGGAGGTTTGGGGGCATACCGGCCATGATTTGTGAAAACTGTGCAGCCAACACAGTTTTCAATAAAGCTAAAATACTTGTTCAGAGTGAACCACTGTTTAAAAAAAGTTCTAACATTCATTTGGCTTTTAAAAGAGATAGGTGTGTTGAAATACATTCCACAGACTACTTTAACGACCGCATTAGTTGTGGCCATCTTAGATATTAGGCGCTTCAAATATGAATCATTTGATGGAATTTCACCTCCTTAGATTGCCATCGGTCACCACTACTGTTAACTTTGTCAGGTCTTCACTGAGCAAAAAAAGACAAAATATTGTGTAGAACAGATGTCCTTGATTTAAAATTTGAAAGGTGCTCTTCAGCAAAATGGAAACATTAAATTAACAGTAACTACTGCAGAAACAAGAGCGATTATGACCTTGCTTGAAGAGGTCTACCCCATCAGGTGAAAGATCAAAACTGGAAGAATGCACCCGCATAGCAGTAAATTTTCAGCGACTCACCACAAGGCATGAATGCTCAATACGGCATCTAAGTGAGAACTATAACGACTATATATATATATATATATATATATATACACACACATACATACATACATACATATACACACACACGCGTACATTTCTCGCATTCTGTCACACCACGGTGAGGGTTGTTTGCATTTGTCTTCCAGTTTGATTTTGAAACAAGGACTCTCCTCTTGTCTCAGGTCACTTGCCCTTCATCTTGGTCATGATTGTCAGCCCCTCCCTGATTGATTCCACCTGTGCCCCTTACCTTGTGTTGAATTGGTCCTTGTCTCCCTTTGTCCTGTTCTAGTGTCTTTCGTCCTTGCCTTGTTTCCACAGCCTTGCCTATTTTGAGTGTTCAGCCGCTGAGTGGGTTTTTTTTTTCATAGCTTCTCATAGATTAATTTCATAGCTTGTTTGTTTGCTCACCAGCCCTCAAATAAATCTCCCCTTTTACAACCGTGTTCTGTGTCCTGTGACAGGACCTGAGGTGCATTCGTTTACAGTCAGACATTTCAAACTCAGCAAAAAAAAAAACAAAGTCTCTCGATGCATAAAACGCTAATAAGTGCAAATATCTGAACTATGTGGTCTTTCTATCTATCTATTAAAGGTGACAGAGGCCCAAGAAGAGTGATGGGGGTGACGTCACTTTGCTATTTTACTCAATGACCATCAATGCTTCCATTCTTCATTCTAGTGGTTGGGATGTCAAACATGACATATTCAATGACCTTTTATGCTTTTTAGGCGTAAATAATCAACAAATGATCTTGTGCTCCTAGATATAAGTAAAAATACAGTATATGTAGTGTGTTAAAATGTTTTATGTGTTGAACTGTTCTAAAGTGCTCAAAATTTAGTTTTAATGTGATCAAAACGTTATATTTTGCTGAACCAATACAAATAATGACACAAATTGAAAATTTGTTTTTAGTTTTCAAATTGATAGGGATGTGAACCAAGAGTTAACAGTTGTCTGGATTGTCATGTTTTAAAATTAAATTTTAATAGGACAGAGAAGCAGCTGAGAGTTGGCTGCAGGCCAGCCTGTAGTGCTTAAGGCGGTCATATTTCGATCTCCATATCTGAAAGCAAGTCTTACAGTTCTCGTACAATGCATCCTCTTCGGGGTTAACACACAAGTTCACATGAAGTAATGCTGCAGTTGACTCGTCTGTTCGGAGTGAAGGACTTGCTCTGGCCTCTCTGGGGAATTTCAATTTGCATTGCTTCTTGCTCATGAAACTTCTTTCCATATGGTTATGAAGGATGTGTGTGTGTTCGAAGGGAAAATCCATTCTGGAATTATTTATATTGATGAACTAAGGACGGTCAATCATTTGTTCATGCACATGGACTGGATGAAAATGAAAATCCTTGGGAAGATGATATTTCCTAATCAGTTCACACTGCCATGATTTCACATCCCTAGAAAAGAGCTTCAATTCAGAGGAATAGAAAATGTTCTAATCATCTTTTCCGAGACAAGGCGAAATATTTGAATGCATATTGAAAGGCTATTTTTCATTCTGTGTCTGTATGCAGGGGCGAGGTGGCCATCGGGAATTTCAGGTGATTCCCAAACAGCCGGCCCATTAAAGCCAACCCCACCGCCAACCCCCACCCCTCCTCCAATCCTTGAACATCATTACGTTTCGGCACAATATGGTTGCCAGCCGACCCCACCTATGAAGGATTATTCCTGGGCCAAATTTTTTTTCCCAGCATGTCTCTGTAAGTATATATGCACATTGTACAGTAAATATGTTGTATCATGGGACAAAAAAATTCAAAAACAACACCCTATTCTTTTCCAATTTTTGGCCATGATAGTAATTAGGCCGATAATCCTGTGCTGATGTTCTCCACTCATCTCCAAGCGAGAAAAGAATTTGCCACTATCACTCACCAATGATTATTTTGTGAATAATGTATTAAGGCTGCGATGAAAAGAAATATTTCGCTGAGCTTCAATTTCAAAATGAAAAGAAAATCTGCTGTGATTGAAGAGCATAGTTTTTTTTGAAGAGTCACTTGATATCTGCCGTGATACATATCAAAGCGTTGGGGCTTAGATGTCTTTGGAAGAGGTTTTGCTTCCAACTTTAGTACCTTCAGATTGACATTTAACATGGATAACAGTCGGTTTGATCAAATGACCATCCAACATTCCATCTATTCATTTTTGTACCATCTATCCTTATTTTACCAATATATGTGAGTGCAAAAGTGCTTTTTTTTCTGGCCAGCGTTTCTGAAATGAATAAAATTAAAATAAAATTAAAATTGACATCAACTCATATTTATTACTTAATGACAAAGAGCACTATAACGTAATACCGAACAACCTTTGTTGTAAAATTGTGTGCCATCTTGACAATTTTTATCCTGATGCAGTCATGGTAAAAGTAGTGCAAACATGCACAAAACTATTTCAAAAAAATTTTTTTTCCAACCACAATAACTGCATAAAAAAACACTAGAAGTACATCACTGAAATCCATTATTCCTAAATTGCATTACAGTATTTTTAGCCCCAGCATTCAAATGTGTTTAAAAAACACATTTAAAACTACTCCTGATGATTATTAGACATCTATAACCAATTAGAGTAGACTTAGAGCACTGTGCATATTTCATACAAAAAAACAAAAAACAAACAATAATCAATAGTCAAGTGAGACCGTTAATCAATTAAAGGAAGGATGGTAGTCATTTACACTTTTGGAATTACTCTCCTTAATATTCTTTGCATTAACTTTTAAAAATTGGACATTTGGTTCAATATTGTGATTGCGTACCCCATTTCAGGGAAAGGATGGACAGATGGTGGATATATTAGTTATATTTCCTCCCACCCACAAATTGCAGCGTTTGCAACTTCAAAATTGCATTCTGCTACACTTTGTCAATTTGAATGTGATTAATTGTTCAGCCCTACTTTTTTTTTACCATAAAACATAAGAAATTGCCTTTAGGCCGTTGGGATGCTGAATCTCATGATTTTGTGAAACGAAGACAATTACGCCCCAGACTGAGTTTTGGTCTTCTATATGTCTGTGTGTCATATTGACATTGGCAACAGATAGTAGAATAAGTCACAAATACGCTCAAATGTCAAGTGCATGTGCCATTTTAAAAACACACAGCAAGTCACAAGGAGTTATTGTGAGTTGATTCCCCAGACAGACGTTAATCCCGAGAGTACTCGGTGCTTCCTATGAAACGATCAACAGAATAGACCCAAGATGACTTTAATAAAGAGCGAGCAGCTGCAGAGCTGGCGTAACAGCGGGGAGGAAGGAAAGCAAACTGATTTGGCTCCTGATGTGTGCTCCTCCAGCTCCACAGGTGGTTACTTTGTAAAGCAACATTTACCGTGCGGATCCCGGTCCCCCTCCCCACCCACCTAATGTTGCTGTCGAACCAAAAATATTTCATAACTGGAATGAGCACCAGGGTTAAAGTTAACAATGATCGTGTAGCACTGTATTTGTTTGTGTTACTGTATTGGACACTGTTTTTATACATTCATCTTAATCATGTTTAAAACACCTTTGTTTCTTTATCATACCAGTTTAACATAAAAAAATACAAATAATAAAATGATAAAAATTCATAGTGTCCATCAGAACAAAACATTAAAATAATTGCAGAGAGAGAGAGAGAGAGAGAGAGAGAGAGAGAGAGAGAGAGAGAGAGAGCACAAAATATTGTGCAGTGTAACAGTGTACCAATCCCTCTGTTTACAGTAAACAAATCCCGTAATGTCAAACTAACAATTTATATCACAACACACAGCAATAATCGTGCCCAAAGATGTCCATGACAAAATTAATCTACAGCTGTCGCTTTCTGTAGGCTCAAAAAGCAGGATTACAGCGAGTAACATTCAATGATTTGTCACATTTTGCATGATTAGCAATTTTTTTTTTATTTTTTTTTTTTGTAGTTAGAAACATTCTTCTGTGATGTGCCTAATTTACAAGACATTTATTTTCACTCTACAGGGACTTTTCAGCAATTTTAGCAATTCATATTTTTGATCGATCTTTGACGTGTTGACGGTGATTGACTGGTTCGTGCGTCGGCCTCACAGTGCAGAGGTGCAGGGTTCTATTCCGGCCTTCCTGTGTGGAGTTTGCATGTTCTCCTTGTGCCTGCGTGGCTTTTCTCCGAGAACTCCGGTTTCCTCCTAAATTCCAAAAACATGCACTTTAGGTTAACGAACACTCTAAATTCTCCCTAGGTGTGGTTGTGAGCCTGGATGGTTGTTCGTCTATGTGTGCCCTTTGCTGGTCTGGCAACCAATTCAGAGTGTACCCCGTCTACTGCCCATAGTGTGATTATAAGCGGATCAGAAAATGGATGGATGGATGGATCTTAAGTGTTGAAAATGATTCGGTCTCTTTGATCATGTAATGTTAATGGTTGAACAAACATGCTGTTTTTAGGAGCTCCTGAAAAGTGACTATTTTGGAGGTACTGTACAAGGTTTCCGCTCGACGCCATCGATATGTTCCTTGTGCCCTGCAAAAAAGGGCTCATGTTAACTGTAATTTACTACCTCACTTACAGAAGTTGTGAAACTCGTATTTATCGCTCAGAAGGAGCCACAATCAATTAATTATGAGCTGTCTCATTCTTTACATTCTATTTCATTATGTTTTTAGTATGTTTTTTTATAATAGAAAATACTAGAGAGTGTTATTGTACTGAAAAACACGTTACTTTTTTTTTCGTTTGTTTTTTTGGGTGGTGAGGCCAGAGGACATTAATGGCATTTCCATTCATTTCACTGTGGAGAGATTATGTGACAGAACGAATTACACTCGTATTTCAAGGCACCATTGCATTTGGAATTTGAAATAATCATTTTGTACACATGAAATGACTGTCATGGCGCCCTGGGTGGGAATTGCTGCATTAGTTTGTCCATGCTTGTGAACCCCATGCTTCAAATCCCTGCATGGTCCAGCAAAAAGAGTTTGATGTCAACTGGAATACTTGGACATGTTTTCACTCAGTGTTGTGCAGTAAAAAAAGACAAATTGCTGTATTTTATCATATAATTTAGGGGCTAGAAGGTTTGACCAACAAAATTTGATGGAACAGCAGAGCACATAGTCTATTACCAAGTAGAATGCTCAATTGGCTGCTACAGGCCATTAGAGTAAACTACAAAGAAAGGCAATAATTTTGTCCTCGACATATATGAGCTATTTTCATGTCGGATTTCCTCCCCTTTAGGCTGGGAGCATTCAGGCTTAGCACTCCATTTTCAGGCCGAGATGAATAATAATGTGCGTATGCTCGTGCAGCAGAGAAAAAAAAAGAAAACGTGAATCTGTTTGATACCTCATTCCCACACAGCTGTTTTGGTCTGAGATAATAGATCAACTCCAAACGAGAGAAAATTTCACTTTGCAATAAAATCGAACATACAGACATAATGGATAATAGCCCCGATAACAGGCCTTTACATGGATGATGCATCACAAACTCCCCGGCCATCATCCCGCAGTTGAATGAGCAAGTTCAAATTGCTATGAGTTTAATGATGAAAATGGATTGACTTGGAATCTACCAATGGAGTGGAGGGACAAAAGGTACTTTGAAAAAGTGGTGAAAAAAAATCCTTTTGTTTTCAGCAGTTTCCATCCTTACTGTGTTGCATGACACAACAGTGTCAGTGTTGTGTCCATTCTTTGTACAAATCTGTGTGTGTGGGGGGGGGGGGGTCAAGGGGAAAATAGGTTTAAAAAATGTGTGTCTGTGTGCATGTTGTCTCTATTCTATATTTTTGTGCTCGAGCACACTGCACCCTAAGCATCCTCTCAGTTTCACTTTCACAAAAAAGTATTTAAAAAATGAAATAATATAACAAAGCAGGTCACCTTTAACCTACGGCGGCACATGTCCTGGATCACCGGAAGTTGTTCGCGGTCATCAGTCTGCACTTGCAGCTTACGATCACAGCTGTTGACTTATATTGTTTTTAATTTTTCTTATTCTCCTTCAAAGTTTGTTCCATGTACAATTCACCGATGGCACTGGCAAGCAATGGGAACCTGGAGGACTGAGAAAGCATTTTCAAATGGTACACTATTGTAGTTCACGGTACACGTGAACTACATACAATAGTGACGTTGTTGCACTGAAGACGCTGCCAAAGTGCGTCCCATGCCGCCGCGTCAGGTCTCGACTCAGGTAGGCACTGATTCCTTTTTATAAACTCACAAGCTGTTGTATCGACTTCATTTTTGTTTCGTTCATGTTCGGGGCCATTATGGCTGTTGCTCATCATGGCATGCGTGTGGCTATGCGTGCATGTGCGGTAGCGGCTCGATCGCCGGAAGTCGGTTGCTTGAAAAGTTGATCCTCGGTCAAAAGGGGTTGGGCATCCCTGATGTAAAAGGTGAATTTGGTTTCCATGCAGTGTTCCCATTTTTAATAATGGCTATAAAACTGCATCAAAAACTTCATTCTGGACTCAAATCTTTGAACCCCAACCTCGAAACTCACTGATCCACACAGCTGCAGTTTCTCAGCAGGTGCGTTTTCAAAGGAGCGTTTAAGGTTTCAAAGATTGCTCTCCAAGCGATGACGATTTTTGACAGCGGTCCCAAAATTCAGTTGAAAAATTCAGCTGTCAGTTCCCCTTGAAAACGTCAGGTTTTCAAGGGGAACTGAGACGCCGATAGCAGTGTAAAATGCTTTTCACTCATTTGCTTCTGTTTGGGTGGACTTTGAAATAGATCACTCAGTAGGGCTTTTTTTTTTCTTTTTTTTTTTTCTTCCACAAAGCAGTATCTGCTAGACGCTATTATCATGAGCTTTCATAAAATATTGGAAGCTGCTACTGATGTTTTTTTTTTTTTTTCATTTTGTCTCAGCCAACTGTTTCTGGTTGATGGAAAAGTTCCCCAGTCAAAAGTATCAGTTACAATGTGTACATATGTTTGCACAATAATATTCATATAACTGTGAATATTTATATTCATCCAGGTCATTTCATTGTCAGGGCACTGAATTGTTGCAACCGGACCGCTCAAGTGTTTGCCGCTTGGCCGCTCTTCCGAGCAAGCGTCATCCATTCATGTACATAGGTTAGATATGACAGCTCAAGCCTGAGCGGAAACGCGACTATCAACCCCCGAAGTTAGAGGCATGAATGATGTCACTCTTTTAGGATGAAAACATGTCCGGCTTTGGAGCCCGGTGGACCCAAATGCAGAAACGAGAATGGATGGTAGAGAATTTGGAAGTTGTTGTTCTACAAAACGGGTAGATGGTTACTGGCGGGCAAAAGTTGTGTGAGTCTGGCTTTTCCGGGAGTTGGAGAGTCGCAGTTTTCACAGGTTGCCAGTTTGGGTAGACAGAAAGCAGGAGACAATCAGGTTTCAAGGAAGTGATCGCAAGGGACCAGCTGCGGTCAAGGAGTACAATCGACTAAGAAAGTACAGTAATCCCTCGTTTATCGCGGTTAATGGGCACAAAAACCACCCGCGATAAACGAAAATCCGCGCAGTAGCGAGCCCCCCCCATAGGTACATGTACATAATATTTCTAAGGAAATTTAATGGTATACATGCATGTAGAAGTAAATTTTGAAATAATTAACATGACCTAATGCTGTATACTAATAGATTTAAACATGAATAAGTTAGGTTAGTTTATGAATAACAAAATACAGTAAACATATTTAAAAAAAAAAAAAAAAGTCCGCAAAGCAAAACAACAGCGAGTCACATAGAGCAACATATACAGTCCTGTACTACATGTATATTAATTTTTTTTTTTTTTTTTTAGGAATATGTTTGAAAAAATCTGCGATGCACTGAAGCCGCGATAAACAAACCGCGAAATAGCGAGGGATCACTGTATTCCATAATTTCTTTCAGTCGCTCTGAAGGCTAGGCGCAGTAGCAAATTACTGTCTTTGACGTCCTCAAGTCCACAGGTAAGGGTTGACGTGCTTAACACTATTTCAATAGTGCTGCCCTGTGTTCAAGGTCCTGTTGATGTGATGACTATTGAATTGCCTGCCTTGATGAATCAATCATTCCTTCCTGCACGCATGTACTCTAAATAGTGAGTGAAAAAAAAACATCTAATTTCACTCCTCTCCTCCTGAGTGCTTACTTGACTGGTCTTATCTAAGCTGCAGCCAATACATTCTAAAGACATAATGTACACTGTGGTTATAATGAAGCTGCTCCTCTTCTGGAGAGAAATCCAAAAGTCAATTTATCATGCTGTGCGTCTAATGTAGGTCTTCATATACTGCATATGTAGCCTGTGCTCTGCCTCGTGACATTCATTTATTTGTTTTTGTTTTTCTGGAAAGGCTCCATTACTGTTCTGAAAAAGCTGTCAGACAGCCGTGAAAACTAAGGACGATGTCCATTTCCTTAATCCAGAAAAAAACCCCAACTGAATACATTTTTTCCTGACAGATATGATGATGCTCACCAAAATGAAATCCATTCAAGCCGCCAACTGACATTAATTACTTCGACACAAACAAGGCATTGAGTGATGCTTTTTAATATAATCTCCCTGTCTCTCCAAAAGTGTTTTAAAGTCACGCCCCCGCCCCCGTACAAGCAATCAAAAACAGTCAAATTAAATCAGCAGGTGCACAGAGATTCTAACTTCACTGTACATGCCGCACGGATGCGTATTTAAAGGAATATAAAGCCACATGTAAACATACAGAACAAGTTCAAGAACTGTCAGTGAGAAAACGCTGTGTTCCTGATATGATACTTTTTTTTCATCTTTTCTCCGCACATCGTACAGTATCAAGAATGTCAAAGAAATCATATATGCTGTAGCCGTCGTCGTGATTCGATGATGTAATTACTGTTTCCGGGAAAACTGTTGACTCTTGTAGTGGAGGTCTCCGGTCTCGAAGGACAGAAAAATCATTTTCTTGTTTTGTTCTGTCAGGTCTAAGAAACAGAAAAAACATCTTTTGTGGTTGAAGGATTTACAGAGCGTGATTTTTTTTTTCCTTTAGGCGTGTGGCAAAATACATTGAAATCACTAAGATAAAAACAAAAAAACAATCAGTTCCAGGGCATTGGTTTATTGATCTGACTGAAACACCATTCGCTACACGTGAAACTGTTGCCTTTGTTTACTGGAAGTGGAAAGGGTAGAAAGAAGTTAAAATTCAAAAGATTGATTGTTTTTTTAACATCTATTAATGGAGCTGCTTAAAAGTGTCAAAGAAATTGCACTGGGTCCACAAAAAGTGATATTTTGACGAAGCAGCATAGAAACAAAGAAAAGGGATTGTCAACGAACAAACTTGCCGTTGGATCAAAATGGATGTATTGATTTAAGTCCAAGCATGCTGGAGCGCATTATTGATAGAGCTTGTAGCAGGAAAATAATACCTTTAAGGATTTTTGTTGTACTTGTCCTTGTCGATAGTTATTGACAAACTGCATGCCCTCCCCCCCTTTCATTTGGTTAGACAGGATGGACCATAAGATTTTAAACTGCACATAGGAGAAATGTATGATATATAATTTCCTGTTTCATGGCCTCCCAGGTTCCAGATCTCTCCCCTCTTGATTTCTGTCTTTGTGGTCACTTGAAGGCCACAAACTAGAAATGTAACCCTTTCATGCAGCAATAAAGATAACCTGCAAACATGATAAGCTGGCCACTGTAGTAACCGCTGTCCCTGAAAGGGTTAAAGTTGAACACTCAGGAACACGGAAAGGGAGTACTGCCTTCATCAAGTCAACAGAGCCTGATGCAGTGTGCATATGTCATTAGTCACGTAAAGGCGTTGAAGTGCAACCATCAATCGAGTAAACTCCCGAGGCGCCACTGGGTCATGTTCAGTTTATTTTATTTAGCGAATGCAAAATCCTTCAGCCATGCAGTTGCCTCTGGGTCAGCTGAGTGGAGGGTGGCTAGCCCTCCTCTCAGTTTTTGGAGAGGGCAAGCTTCGATGATGTGTTCCATTGTCTGCTCCTCTCCACAAGCGCACAGTGGGCTGGGGCAATTGCCCCATTTGTGGCGGCTGGCCAAGCAGAGGCCATGTCCAGTCCTGAACCTGTTGAGGGTTGACCATTGTCTCCGTGGAAGCTCGGTGCCAGGGACAGGATGGGTGGGGTCTGACACCAGATGTTTATTGCGGATCTCCTTGGAGTCCCATTCCTTTTTCCAAGCTGACTGGATGGTAAAGTCAGCTGGTGGGGGGTTCTTCCAGATGGGGCGCCTGGATGGGAGTCGGGCCGTGGGTGGGTTAAGGATGTCTTGATAAATAGGTAGGTGGGGTGAGACTTTGACATTTTGGAGCATCTTTTTGGTTGATGCTATTCGCCGAATGTGTGGGGGAGCAATGTTGGATAAGACAGGTAGCCAGGGGAGAGGTGTTGAACGAATTGTTCCGGTTATGATTCTCATGGTTGAGTTAAGCTGGGTGTCCACGTGGTGTGTGTGAGATGACCTGGACCAAACAGGAGCACAGTATTCCGCTGCAGAGTAAGCGAGGGCCAGGGCTGAGGTGCGCAGTGTGGAAGTGGAAGCGCCCCATTTTACGCCGGCGAGCTTACAGAGCAGGTTGTTTCTGGACTTGATCTTAGCCGCTGTTCCTTTTATGTGTTGCTTGAAGGAAAGGGTCCTGTCAAGGGTCACTCCAAGGTAGGTGGGGTGAGGGGCGTGCTTAAGTTCAAGCCCACTCAGGGAGATCTTCAGTCCTCTGGCTGCTGTAGCATTGTGCAGGTGGAATACACTGGAGACAGTTTTTGCAGGACTTGGTTTTAACCGCCAGGTTTTGCAGTACTGGTCCAGTTTGCCGAGGTCTTCTGTGAGCACGTGTTCCAGCTGTTCCAGATCTGGTGCTTGGTATGCCAGGCAGATGTCATCTGCATAGATGAATTTGCGGGATTTGGTGCAGGGGAGGTCGTTTGTGTAAAGGTTGAACAGTGTTGGAGCGAGAACTGAGCCTTGGGGGAGTCCATTTTTCTGTGTTCTCCAAGAACTGTTGTTCTGGCTGAGGTGTACTCTGAACCTCCGGTTGGTCAGGAGGGTTGTAATGATTGTCGTTGCCCAGGAAGGGAGAGCCTTTGCAAGTTTCAGAAGGAGGCCTTTGTGCCAGACTGTATCATAGGCGGCTGTGAGGTCGAGAAACACAGTCCCGGTCCTTAGTCTTTTCTCAAAGCCATTTTCGATGAACATAGTAAGGGCCAGTACTTGTTCTCCTGTGCTGCGGTTCTTCCTGAAGCCTGCCTGGTCCACACAGAGAAGGTCCTCTACTCCTGGGGATATGCGCTGGAGTA